CTCATCATTAGCCGTAAGCTTCGTTTTGTACAGGAAAAAGTTTGAAATGTCGTAATTCACGAACAATCTATTTTTTTTAATTTTAAATTTCGATTAAAAAAAAATCAAAACAGGTATTCTGTATTTTTTTCTACTTTTTCAAATGGAATTCATCCCATGAGATTTCCATCAAAAGTTTTTTTCTATGAGAAAAATGAGTTTCACAAGGGTAGTTTACCCTCCATATTTCACCCCCGAAGACGGTTCTAATTCGCCTTTTCATCATTCCTTATGACCTTCATGATATACTGCGAAAGAGTTGTTCAAAAAGCTTCCTTATGTGTGCAATCAAAAAATGACCCCGAGAGGTGGTCAACTTCAGAGAGCACTTTCACCCCCTAAAACCCAATACGGGCAGCTAAAAAAAAAACGTATCCCTTAGTTTTGGGTCCCTTATAACATATTTCAGTTTCATCGAAATCGGAGAGGGACACCTGCGTAGTGTTCCTTGTTAGTAGGACAGGGGGACGTACAATAGGCTTAAACAACGAGGAAGAGTAAATAGCTGAGACTTTCCTCGCGAAATAATACTTAATGGTGGTGCCGCGAGGGAAAGTAGGGTCGACCAATTTCCGGGGTCAAGTGGTTTTAGTGGGTGAGGGCCCCACAGAGGGTGTGATAGTAACCGCCATGTTACTGTCCACTATCGAGCGGTTAGGTATATTTCGCCCCAAGGCCTCGGAAGGAAAAAAAAACATACATATATACATACATACATACAAACACCATCTAAAAATAGAATATTTAGACTTTTTAGGCCACATTTATTTACCCTGACACAAAAATTTAAAAACTTAATTTTAAACGATTATAAAGATTCCATGGGGAAGCAAAATCCGAAAATTTGTCAATTTTTTTCAATATGACGCAGGCAAGAGATTGAAGTTTTCGTCACGGTATTCTATGGAAAAACATGAAATCAAAGGTGATGATTTTTTTCAAAGCTGTATCTTCATCCAATCATGTTAAAACGAATTGTTGAAAAGTGAATCTGTTTTTTCTTCCAATAGAAATTATTTTTAAAAAATAAATGAAAAAATATCACATAAATGGTCATAGGTTTCTGATTTTTCAGATTTTTAGAACCCTTTTTGACGGCTAAAAAACGTGAAATTAGAAAAAAATGTTTTTTTTTGATAAAACTGGCAGGAGGTTCCCGCACTTATTCCCTAAAGAAAAAAACTTCCGGAAAAAATTTCCCGGAATTATTTTTTTCCGCAAAAAATTGCTTTGGAAATTTTTGTTCCCGGAAAAAATTACTTGGGAATTTTTTGTTTCGGAAGAAATTACTTGGGAAATTTTTTTTCCCGGAATTTAATTTTTTTTTTACTTCCTTGGAAAAAATGTCAGAAAAAAAAATAGCATCCATTTTTTACATAAAAAATGTACAGAAAATAATTTTGACAGAAGTTCAGGGAAATTTAAGACTTAATGAGCATATTTTGGCTTTAGATTCTACCTGGAAATGTATTGAATGGTGCGATAGTAAAATTGACGTTGGAAGGGATAGCGATAATCGACTGGAGATTAATTTCCCCCACTTATGACACTGTTTCGTGTAGTGCTTATATTGTGCCGTGGCTGATACCCAAATATATATGTATCCTTGGGAATTTCGTGAGCTCAAAATTATTTCCATTAACACAAGTTATTTTTTCTCAAAAAAATTAATACCGGCAAATTATTTCCAAAAAAAAAATTTGCCAAATAATTTTTTCCGGAAAAAAAATTTTCTCAAATAGTTTTTTCCGGAAAATTTTTTTTCACAAGTAATTTTGAAAAAAAAAGTATTTTTCCGAGAAATTTTTTCCAAAAGATTTTTTCCAAAGGAAAAAAGTGCGGACACCCTGGCAGGAATACAAATAAAAATATGAAAATTTGCATGCAGGTATATTTTATCATGGGAAACAACAGAAAAAATTGGTGATTCAAAATTAGTTGGGGGTATTTTCACCATACTTATTCCACTAGACTCTTTGTGGTGTATAATCTTTGTGGGCCCCACATTAAATTCATTAACAGAGACAAAAACAAACAGAAAATGTATCGTTTGCCTCTAATTCAAAATACCAAACGTTAGAACGGTAAATCAGTTACGAACGCCGTATAAAATTCACGTATGAAATTATTTGAGACAAGACAGAGAAGAAGTAATCGTTGGATGATGACAACGACGAGAATGATGAGCATGCGATTGAAAAACCTTGCATTAAGGGACGATGAGTTAAGAAACACATGATTTGTCAATATAAATTTTGCAGAGAACACTTGAATTTCTCTAAAATTGAGGAAGAAATTAGAAAGGGTTCAGCATCTTTGATAGAAATAAGATGTCCCAAGTGGCTCGAGGTCTTGACAGACTCGAATTTTCAAGTTATTTAATAATTTTCATTATCATGTGAACCTGAAAATATCAATTCCATTGATTACTCCGGAATTCAACTGATTTTTCAATAACTAAATACATGCAAATTTCGTGTGAATAAGTAATTATTAAAAATTTCAAGATTTTTTACTTGGAATTTCAGGATTAATTTTCTAACAGTATGGTTAAGTGAACGAAAAACCGCAAAAATCGACGATTTGAAGTTTTATTTTTCAGTATATGTTTGTTAAAAGACCTAGAACAGGGTTAAAAGTCACATGAAAGTGAAATCAAGATTTACTTTCTGGCACATTAGTTTTTCACACATTATTCATAATTTTTCGAGGCATCAGAAAAAATTAGATTGCGATAACCTCGGCCTTGCAGCTGGAGAGAATACAAAAACATTAAAAATTCAGCGTTTTTTTCGAATGGAAGATCTCATGGTCAGATACTCCTTCCCTGAATTTTTCAATTTTCCTTTTATTACTTTGACATTTCAGATGAAACACCTTAAACAATTATGTTTTCAGTTGTCGTCAAAAAACGATCCATCACATGAACACATACACACACATCCGGACACAGTCTAAAAATAGAGTATTCGAGCACCTGAGACTAAAATTAGTTATCTTAATACAAAAAATCAGACATTCCGGATTTGACGAATCTACGGGATGAATATAAAAGTAGTTTTTACTATGGGAACATAGTAATTGTTAATACCAGAAATTAGATGCAGGGCCATACTCGCCAAATATTAAAATTTACTGTTTAGCGTGGTAATTTTGAAGACAAATGAAAAAGTACGACTCAGCGGATGAAACAATACTGGTGACCGAATTAGAATATGATGGAATCCACAAAAAAAATTAGTGTAGAACATAGTAAAAACTGTAAGGCGGTATAGTCGAAAGTGATAGCTCAGGAGGTTTTTTTTTATCGTTATTTTTACATCGCTTCGACCCGGTTAGGGTATACTGCGATGATGATGAAGACTTTAAATGGCTAGATCGCACGATTCTACCCGACCGGGATTTGAACTCGGAATCTTTCGCATGTGATAAACATGATTTTTTACTTTCGTGATAAAAAAGATTCCTCCTTCCCCTCTTTTAACACGAATATTCATGGAAGAGGAGAAGGGAGAGCCTTTTTTTCAAGCATAATACAGAGAAAAAAAGTTGATTAACTTTAGGTAAAAGTTCACGTATAAAAAAATTCAATAGAAAACCTTAGTGAATTCGCTAGAAAAATCTATTGAAATTCTTTAGAAATTCTATGGGGATTCCATTAAAATTCTAGGAAATTCTTATTAAAATTCTATTTGATTTTTACACAGATTTTGTTGGATATTTAATAGGAAAAAGTCAACAGTTTTCGATTGCTCTGTTCGAATTTATCGCTTGAGATTTATCCTGTTAAAATTATTGGACACGGATTCTTTAAGTTTTTTCCGCTATACACGGAGAGAAATATTCATTAAAAATTACGTATCTTTTTCGTAATTCCGAAGCAAAATGCGGCTGTAGGAAATTTGGTCACGTAATTTTTACCTAAAATCACGGATTTTTTCCAGAGTGTTCCGTAATTTTTACGTGAATCTCCTGTGAAAAATTACGATACCGTCACTTAAATTTTCTGAGTCGATTCTGTACTCGGTGAGCAAATTGTGAGTTTCGTAATTTGTACTGAACATTTCTCCGTGCATTTTTTGTTTTGCATTACACAATCCGAGTGGAAAACACTTAGAAAATTCATGGCCGAGTAGTCTTTATAGAAAAAATTCCAAGACAATATTCATATTGAAAAATCGAAATCCACTGACTTTTTCCTATGAAATATCTCATAGAATCAACGCAAAAAACAAGTAGAATTTTACCGAGAATTCCTTAGAATTTTAATAGAATCCGAATAAAATTTCTAGGGAATAGAATTTTCTAGCGAATTCGCTGTTTTTCTATTGAATTTTTTCATACGCGTTGCTAGGTGTTAGAAAACTCATAACAATTGCCTATGGAAACGGCAGGATTTTCATTGTTCTCCTGCACGTTTACGTAGGGCGCTCACTCACCACCCGATCGATTGTGTTGGCAACAGAGAAAGAGGATTCCAAGAAATTTAAACGATCGACGATCCAAATCCCCGCTGCAGTTTTTACAAGTCAACATAGTAATTTCTGCTGTTTCGTAGAGTGAAATGGGGGAGGCGTAAGAGTATACAAAATTTTAAAACGTAAAAAAATTACGATGTACCATAGTCAAAATTCATACGATTTGAGTAATTTGTCGTTGCTTCAATAGTAAAAATTCCTTTAAAGAAAAGCGTTTAAGACCCTCTTAAATATCATTTTTTCGTACGTGCATTTTACACTGTTTCTTTTACTTAAAATTTCTATGTTAAATAGTAAAAAAGAAATTTCACATAGCAAATATTCAGTTGACGTAGATCAAATTTTGAAGTTATTCCGGTATGGTCCTGGATTACTATGTTCACATAGTAATTTTTTATTTTATATTCTTTCCATGTACAATGCTTCCATTCGGAAGCAAAAGAAGAAATAAAAATGGTTTGTCAACAAACGCTGCTTACTTACATCCCTCAAACGAATACAACCCGTATCATTTGTATCAATGGCTCGGAATATTTCCTTTAGTGTTCTGAAAAAAAAATGGCTCCATAAATATCCGAATAAAAAGGAGAATAGTACTAAGAAGGGGTTGGGATCACCCCCAGATTTGGAATATTGAGTGCATTAACTACAATAATTGAATTCCCTATAATAGGGTGAACTTTTCATTAACCTTTCATTTTAATGCGGAACTAAATGTGGAATAAAATTCATTTAATGTGAAACTAAACGGCAGCGCTGTATTTAAAAGTTTTGAGCCATAGTAGGACTAAATGACATCCTCATAGCATCAACTACGATAATTGAATTCCCTAGAATACGGTGAACTTTTCATAGATGTTTCATTTTAATGCGGAACTAAATGTAAAATAAAATTAATTTAATGTGAAACTAAATGGCAGCGCTGTATTTAAAAGTTTTGAGCCAAAATAGGGCTAAATGACATGCTCATGACCTTCCTTTACCGTAAAATTATTGAATTGCCGTAAATTACTAGATGATGCTGGAGTGAGTTTCGGTAAAGATTCAATCGAAGAACCTTTTTGAATATGTAAGAGCGTTTTTCGCCGTGTTGAAAAGCTCTAAGAAAATATCGCCCGAACTAATAACAACTGAATATGCCGTATTAAAAATTAAAACACAATTTTTACAGGATTCCTCGTATTAATTTATCGATTAATGGTCCCTATTGCTGATTTATTGAAGGCCACTAAGATCTAAAAACTTGAAATCGTCTTTCAACGTAGTATTAGGTGCTGACATTGACACAACACTGATAACACGACATAATTTTAAGGATATTAACGTGTTTGACATTGTATTTCTTTGTGACCCTTGTGACCTTATATTAACTTCACGTCAAACTTCAGGAGAATCCGTCGGAGAATCAGACGGATGAATCACAAGACGTTGGTCAAATTTCATGAGGGTCATACAGGAGTTATTAAATTTCAAGAAGGTTAAATGTTGCAAGGGTCAAATATCATAAGGATCATGAAGGTCACAAGGATAAGGACAAATTTCACGAGGATCAAACATCACGAGGGTCACATGAAAATTATCAAATTTCACGAAGGTCACAAGGGCATGATTAAATTTCACAAAGGTTTAATGTTACAATGGTTACACTTCGCAAGGGTCGGAATTACCAAACCGGAGGAGTCGACAAAATCAGCTCTAACCAACTCGCTAGGTTGTGGAGAGTGGGGTGGATTTCAGGTGGAAACGGGTTATTGAGCGGTCAAAACTACAAAAAAAAGATGAAGAAATCGACATTGTCTTTACTTGTTGCACTATTGAAATTTTCAAATTAATTAATTTACATGATTTTTACATACTGGTCTGACCAAAAAAAAGAAAGAAAAGATTTGCAACAATAATCAACATTCTTCTAACAAACCCCAAAATAATAAGATTGACTCGAAATATATGGTCCCGACAACAATACATTATCGATTAACTTGGTTACAAAGTTGAGATCATCAAATTCCTCAAGTGGTAATACAAAAATATTCGTTAATCCTGAAATACTCGAGAATTTCGAGAACTGGGGGAAAGGTATGCGAATACCCGTGAGAGTGAGAGAGAGAGGAAATAAATTCAGCGATATACGTATAACGTATTGCGGGAAAATAAAAATTCATTAATACCACACTCGCCGTAGCGGAAAACCGGTAGAATTAAATCCGAAAAACCCAGAGTCAAATTGCTGGGGAGTGTTTGGAGAAACCCATGATACCAAAATTATCAATTTTGGATCGTTGCGAGCCCTTCCAGGCTGAATTACACCCGGAGGGAAAACTTAACGAGGGAACGCTCGTGGGAAGCGAGAGCCGCAGCTTGTCGGCGCGGATGAATGTTAGCGGGTGCCGTGAGGGGGAAGCATTCGTGAGGAATGCTCGACCCACTCTACACAATTTTTCCGTAGAGGGAGAGGGAAGGCTCTGTGCTATTGCATGATTTCGACCTAGAAAAAAAATGAAACAACCCCAATTTTACCTTATAGCTTCAAATAATTAATAAAAGGAGACCCGACAATGCCGCCGGTCAGGGCAGAACCGGACGGAAATTACAACACCGACCCTTCTAAAGGGGGAAAAGAAGTCGATGAAAATCGACCAGAGACCCACAAATAAAAATCCGGGGACAATCAACGTCTTAAAAAAAGAGACGTATAACCAAAAACCACCGATAAATTATTTAACCGCCGGTTAGGCGGATCCAAGGCCACTGCACATGGCTGAAGGCCAACGTGAGGGAAACCACCATCAGGGGAGAGCCGACGCTATGTCAATGGCTGGGATAAAACACCGATAAACGAGAAAAACTCACGTTTGGGGGCTTCTTGGTGACGCGAACCCTCTTCTTCACCACTGTGAACTCCTCAGGACCCCAAAATAATCCCAAAGGCACTTGTTAATTTAAAAAAACGCACAGTAATGCCACACGCGACTACTATAGACGCTGGTCAACGCAAAACTGAATTTGGGGGTCCGTGTCGTGCGGAACAGTCCCCGAGCGTGAATTCCGGCCAACAGAGACGAGCTCTGATGGGCGGAGCCATTTTCACATCAGAGGTGTGAACATTGAGGGATCCGCCCAGTGATGCCAGATGGGGGCAAAAACCACGCGTGGGAAGAAGTAAATTAATGTCAAGCTCAACAAAAATAAAATACCACTTTTGCAGCATTCTAAGTACTGATTTATGTATTCATTTATTTGTTTATATTCCTTCCTCCAGATTTATGCGTATTCACTGAAGATTTTTAAACTTAAAATAATCTTTCAGTCGCCTTTCGACTAGTGTTGGGTGTAATTGATAACAAAAGTGATCGTAAGATCGGAAAATTAAGTTTGAAGTCTCAAAATACAGTTTAAAGTCGGAAAGATTAGGAAAAACTTTTTTCTTATTCCATTGTTAGATAGGCAAATTTCAGAGATAACTGAAATGAGAATATCGGGCGCGAAAAACTGAAATAAGGGTCAAACATGAGGGTGAAAAATCACGACATTAAATGGGGCTAAAACGGAAAATGTATACGATAACAATAAGCAGGGCGCGAAGTTTCTACCATCTCAACGTATTTTTGAATAAGGAATTCAGGACAGATGATGCAAATATTTCATCACCGTTATTCAGATATTTCAATTTTTTCAATAATTTTAGTCATTTTCTCACCTTTTCATGAAATGTTAATAATTACAATAGAATCTTGGGAACTTGGTAGTAGGGGAGATTTAATTTGGGGAAGGGGGAGTGTCATAAGGCTCACAAGGATAAAAAGAAAAGGACACACAAAGTTCGCTCGGGCTGTTTGACTCACAAAGGGATCACAAGAAATCACGAGGGTCTCAATCGGTCACCACGACCGCAAGCGATCACGAGGGTCTTAAGGTGTCTTAAGGGTAAAAAAAAGCAATCACGAGGGTCGCTAGGGATCACGAGCATCACGAGGGTAAAAAAGATGAATCACGAGGGTCACTAGGAATCACGAGGGTGAAAAATAGGAATCACGAGGGTCGCTAGGGATCACGAGGATCACAAGGGTAAAAAAAATGAATCACGAAGGCCGCTAGAAATCACGAGGGTCACAAGGGATCGCAAGAGATCACGAGGGGAGTGTCCCAAAATAATGTCACAAAGGTACTTTTGGTTATTCAAAGAAAAATTGTGATGTACCGAGTGGTTATCATTTCATGGACAATTGGTTCTCACAACAGCGCCCTGGCGCAGTCGTTAAAGGTATCCACTCGAATGCTGGAGATCCCAGTTCGATTCCCGCTGTTTTTATTTATTTATTTATTTTTTCTTAATATCGCTGTATGACGCGAAAAATGTTTGAAGTTAATTCATTATATCATATTTGTAGGTGAAAAATGGGGCTCGCGAGGGTAACATATAGGAGTCAAATATATGGATCACGAAAATTATGTTGTAAAGTAATCCGACATTTTTCCATGTTAATTACTCATTCTATATTTTTCACTACAATGTAATCAATTATATTAGAATTTACCACTTTTCTTTCTCTTTTGTTCTTCTTTCAACTCTGATTGCAAAGCCGTTATTAATATCCTAGTTTTTCAAATCTGAGAATGAATGCAAAATATCGCTTGTGTAAGAATCGATTATTTATTCGCTCAATTCTGCTTTTAACCGGTAATATTCGGTGTTGACTTTCACATAACCGCACTGAAAAATCAAAACAATGAGAACCAAAACAAAACACGAGCTACGTTGGCTCACTCAGTCTCTGACAAAAGGCGATCGGATATCAACGAGTGATTCCGTGTTTCTGCAGTGTGTTAGAGGCTTTTTTATACTTTTCAATTGAAAATTTGATATGGAGATCGAAGTGGACCAGGAGAGGGATTCAGGACGTGCAGCTTCCGATGTTCCAGCATCGAAAAAAAGGAAAGTATTTCAAGAATCATGGAAAAATGAACCTGAATTTTCTGGGTGGGTGAAAAGAGTTGACGGGAATCCAAATAGTGCGTTCTGTTATGCTTGCGAGAAACAGATTGCCGCCGGAAAATCTGAATTGCATAAACATACAGGGACTGAAAAGCATAAAGAAAATGCTTTAAAGCGCAATCCCATCCGAGGGAATGAAAAAATTAGTAATGAAGGTAGTGTTCTTGAGGGATGTTGCGTGTCATACACGCGAAACTATAATTTCGGTATTATTAATTATTTTCCATTCATTTTAAATTTCCCAAATGTTACTTCGAAGGAAACAGTTCACACAAAGACACGTATTTCCCCGGCGTCTAGACTCATAGCAATCGAAATATATTCAATTATTATTCTTAATCCTCAGTGCAGCTGCTTTTCAAATTATTTTATTACTGTTCTCTGAAGTCCAGAACTAATTCTCGTGAAACTCGACTGGGAAAGACCCTTCGTCTAGACAATTTCGATAATGCTTTCATTCAATACTCTAGTTATTCAAAACAAACTCCACATTTTAGGTTTTATGACTTCAGGCACAATAGTCTTTATGATCACCCTCGATAACACTCTCGAAC